CTACATGATGTCATTACCCAGTGCCCACAGCAGCCGTTTCCGGGCTGGGCTGTGGGCCACATTTTGCACCATGCGGTCCTGGCAGCATTGGCTGCGATTTGGTGGGGTGTCGCTCTGGGGTAGTTGCAGGGCCTGTGTCCCATTTGGGGGAAGCCAAGTGTTGCTTTGTCAGCACCAAGTCTGAGGTGCCATTTCTTTGTAAATGGCTAGTGCGTGTCACAGCAGCTCCTGTGTTGAGCGTCTGCCCCCTGGTGGTCTGTGAGTATCATAGGGATCATAGCGGTCAGACGGTCAGAGGGACACTTAGCATATTAGCCTATTATATATATACAGAACCACCTTCATAGATGTGGCCCTTTGTTGACAAAATGTCATTATACAGTGCATGACAGGACACCAGAGTTTCAGGATCCTATTCAATCAGCCTTCAAAGGGCCCATTACTGTATTCATGAAACATGGTTGGAGGTAGTCACTGAAGGATGAGAGGGTGAAGACTGATAAACAGAAACCTCATTTAAATTAGAGCTGTGAGGGCCAGTTGGGGGAGCTCTCACGACCTACCAATTACCCCAAACAGGAAGAGATGTACTTTCCACCTCCGACAGAAAGCTGTTTTCCTTCTTTTCAGGATTAAGTTTTTCTTTATTTTTTCTTAATCTTTATTGTTGAAACTACTACAAATGTCAGGAATATGTTCTTCTACTCTATTACTCTGACAGAGGGAGGAGGATCTTTTCCTCACCTGTCAACCACTCCGCCAATGAAAGACTTAAAACTTGACCAATGAAAGGCCACTACACTTCAAACTCCCAGTTGCCTCCAATGGACTCTTTGTTTACAACAGCGCCTCTGAACTCCCCCTTTCCTCTATAAACAAAGGTTCCACTCCTTTGCTTTCTGGACTTGGCATGGTTTGCCATGAGACTATATGTGCCCCATTGCAATTCTGTGTTGTTTCCAAATAAACCCGTTTCGCTGGAGAAATACCTGATTGTCCATTTCTTTAAAGTCGATAATAAATAACAGACTTGCTTTCTGTCCTGAAAAACATTGAATTGTTTCAAAAGGAAAAGCTTTTACTGCTCTCTTTTATAAGCAACCTCCCATGATTTTCAAATCACGTTATCTTGACCAACAAAAAAGTGATCTTGCCGAAACCGGTTTGGCTCAGTGGATAGAGCGTCGGCCTGCGGACTGAAAGGTCCCAGGTTCGATTCTGGTCAGGGGCATGTACCTTGGTTGCGGGCACATCCCCAGTGGGGAGTATGCAGGAGGCAGCTGGTCGATGTTTCTCTCTCATCGATGTTTCTAACTCTCTCTCTCTCTCCTTTCCTCTCTGTAAAAACTCAATAAAATATATTTTTTTAAAAAAGTGATCTTTTTAACATAACATTTTTCTTTCATTACTTTCTAAATCTCTTAATCTCACTCAAGCTTCAGTTTCTAGTCAACAAAATGAACATAATAAAAATACCTGCCCTCAGACAGTCCTTGTTCAGAGCAGTCGGGGCCATAGGCAGGCCACCCCAAAATATCTCATAATGGCTTATTGATTATTTTTAATTAAAGTTACTTAAGAACCTGCCAATGCAAGAAATACACTCTGACCTCTTTCTGACCCTCTGAAAGCAAGAGACAAATCTCCCAAGTGAAAGGTGCCCTCCCTGTACCTAGAAGCTAACAAGAGATATCCTCATCACCAGAGTAGGGAATTCAGGGCCATAAAGCATATATAAACGAAATCCGTGACTCCTTTCGTAATTTAATACCCAAGCCCAAACTCTGCTTAGATTCCTCACTGATGAGCACCCAAGCCTGTCAATTATTCACAAATTTATTATTTCTTATGTAAAAGATATCAAAGCTGCCTGCTTGCCCTAACTGGTTTGGCTCAGTGGATAGAGCGTCGGCCTTCGGACTGAAGGATCCTGGGTTCGATTCTGGTCAAGGGTATGTACCTTGGTTGCGGGCTCAATCCCCAGTAAGGGGGCAGGGGTGCGTGCAGGAGGCAGCTGATCGATGTTTCTCATCAATGTTTCTAACTCTCTATCCCTCTCCCTTCCTCTCTGTAAAAATCAAAACATATTTTAAAAAATAAAAGTTGCCTGCTTTGGGCACTCACTAAGCATCATTTTATGTTCTCCCATGTATTAAATTGGTTTTTCCCCTGTCAATCTGTCTTACATCAATTTTATTATTAATCCAGCCAAAAGAACTCAGAGGAGTAAGAGGGGAGTTCTCACACAAGCACATATACGTGTGTGTGCGCGCACACACACACACACACAGTAATTAAGATAACACACATAAAGAACTTTACAATATCTGGCTGGCTATCATCATCATTAATACTACTACTGTTACCAGGTGTTACTGGCAAAGTTGGACCTTGGTTCTTGAGTTTGACAAAGAAAGAATTCACAACCAAGAACTCAAATTACAAGAGAAAGTTTATTTAGAAAATTAGACATAGTAGAGGTGAGCCAGCTGGCTGTGTAGGCTCAAAAAACAAGTTATAGAAGCAAAAGAAAGGCCTTGGAGCTTGGGAGAGAGGCAAAGGTAACACTCCTAGTGGGAAGAGGGGGAAGGGAAAGGTGCAGGCCTGCCCCCGAGAGAGACAGGGAGAGTTTTAAAGGCTGGGAGTTAAGGGAAGGATCGCAATAGAACAGTCATCAGCTTTATGCTGATGAGCCAAAATGAGATTAACTCCCCTGACTTCATCTGTCCTTGGATGTGGTTGGCACAAGTGGCACTAACTGTATTTTTGTTATCAATCTCCTTGAGGAGGGTGAGTTAAGCTACTTACCCTCTGGTTGGGGAGAAGTGTAAACCATTTACTCTTAAGTGTCCTTGGTTAGGGAAGATAGGATTTTGCAATTTACTGGTTGGCCTTTTAACTATCTGTCTCAGTTTCCCTATTCTATTTGTACTGGCTTACTAGCCTATCTCACTACTATCAGTATTATTATTTTTTTATTTTTTTTAATATATATTTTATTGGTTTTTTACAGAGAGGAAGGGAGAGAGATAGAGAGTCAGAAACATAAATGAGAGAGAAACATCGACCAGCTGCCTCCTGCACATCTCCTCC